AATTTGGATGCTAGGCTACTGACTCATATTTATGACCTTGCAGTGTCCCAGGATGATGTGATCATATTTTGCGAACTTCTTACAAGCAAAGTCAATGGGGAAGCCACATTCAATTACCAACCATAATACTAACTTAACAATTGCAATGATTCGCTTAACAATTGTGGCAAGAAAGGTCAGAAAAATGGGGCAAAATTCACTTAATGAATGTTTCACTTAGCCACAGAAATGTTGGGCTCAATTGTGGTCATAAGTCAAGGACTACCTGTACATCCAATTTTCCCCACAACAACCCTTTGAGTTGGGCTGAGAGAGAGCAACTGGCCCAAAGTGACCCAGCGGGTTTCTGGGCCAGCACCTTAATCACTATATTGTTTTAAATTGAAAATAATTCTATTACACCATCCCACCATCTCAATAAACCTTGCTAAAGACTACACAAGTGATAATCATGTTGGAAAATAATCACTTTTGATTTAGGCAGCCACCAGACTTGCAGTTGACTTTTATTAGGGACCAAAGGGCAGGGTGTAAATAATTGTTAAAATCCACACTGGGAAGTGGACATTTTCTTCCACTGTATCTAAAGGCAGCAGGCTAGCTGAGGGGTAAAGCGCATTCTGTGTGACCCATACAATTATGTCCTCCAAACTTTCATTCCTGTAAAGGACTGTTTCACTATGTCTAATCTTATAAGTCTCAGTTAGAGCCAAGTCAGAAATGGCGAATACTACAGGTGGTTCTCAACTTACAACATTCATTTAGTGACTGCTCAAAGTTACAATGGCACTGAAAATAGTGACTGAAAAAAGTGCAGCATTTCCATGGTCGCATAATCAAAATTAAGGTGCTTAATAACAGGCATTTATTTATGACAGTTACACTGTCCCCGAATCATGTGATCACTATTTGTAATCTTCCTGGCTGGATTTCCAACAAGCAAAATCATTGGGGAAGTGAGATTTACTTTACAATCGATGATTCACTGGATAGTTGCATGATTCACTTAATAACTTGTGGCAAAAAAAGTTCGTAAAATGGGGCACAACTCACTTAACAACTTAACTTGGACTCCATTGTGGTTGTAAGTTGAGGACTGTCTGTAACTGGGCATAAAGAACCAGAAGGTGTCTAATCTCAACTGAGCATCACATAGTGAGGTGAATTATTTAAAAAAAAACATTGAAAATGTTAGGTTTGCTGATTTGACGTATTTCATTTAAAGCTTTTTATTCAGTGCATGTTAACTTTATGTGCTATATAAATATCTCATTGAGTTGAAATGATTGATTAAAGAAATAGAAACTAATAAAGTAAATTTAATGGAGTTAAACTATTATATTCAAGCAACTTTTGGAGCTCTATTTTGAAGTTTGAAATAATAGTTTAGAGACATGACATGACAGTTTGTTAGCAGGCAATTCCCTTGTTTAAGAAGGAAAATGAAAGCACTTAGTATAGCAACTGCTTCTATAATACTGCTAGTTGGTGGCCTTCTGACTGCAATAACCAAATAGAAAAACCTTTCAGTGGTGCCTGATTTTTCTGGAAAGGACAAACAATACTGTTATTATTCAGAGACAAGTAAGTGCCTTGCTCCTTTATGGTGTTCGTGGCATAATTTTTGCTTTGCTGCTATTTGCTTTCCCTAAGTTTGTTTTGATACTTAAAATTAGCAAATGATTGTATTGTTCACATATCACAGCAAATTTTACATGATATTATAGTATTGCATTATTTTAATTTTGTAAGCTACTTGAATTTTCTACTTTTCTTTAATAGAAACATGGCTTGATATGCTTTTAATGATAAATATATTTAATTTGAGAGCCAGCTTGTGAAGGGGTGAAAAACACCAGGCTAGAAACTTAGAGATTGTATATTCTAGTCCTCTCATAGACACAGATGACTTTGGGCGAGTCCAGTGGTGGGATTCAAATATGTGAACAACCGGCTCTCTGTGTGGATGCCACTTCTGGAAGTCCATTCTGGGCCTAGGCAACAAAAAATTAGCTACCGGTGCTGCCGAAGTGGTGCGAACCGGCTGAATCCCACCATTGGGTGAGTCCCTTTCTCTTAAAACTAGGAAGGAAAAAGGTAATACAAGCAACTTCTGAAAACATTTCCTAAAAAAATATAAAAATGTATCTATGAAGCATCCAGGAGGTAAGGAATTTTTCCCCCTAACTTTAATAAACTGTATAATATGTTCCTTAATATATTGTACAATACACTCATTTTACAATATACTCAGTTTATTATCTTTAGTGACAAGCCATATATTATATAATTGTCAAATTATTTATTAAATATTGTAATTATATTTATTAAATAAACAATAAACAATGTAATTACTGCATAACTTTCAGGCTTATTTTTTTAAACAATAATGGCATATTGAAGAATTTAAAAAGGAATTGCCAGTGCCAGATTTAGCCATTAACTAAATAAGCTAAGCTTAGGGCCCCAGAATCATTCAACATTTCAGTTTTGGGTTGTTTTTGTTTGTTTGCTTTTTGCTTTTAAAATTTTATGTGGCTTTTAATGTGTACCGTAGTTTTTAAAATCGTGTGTTACAAGTTTTTATGTGTAGTTTTAAAAGGCTTTAATATAATCTATTTAATGTTCCCAGAAATTAATAAGCTGTGTAACATATCATTTAAACACATAATTCATACTTTACTTTTGAGAAAACAAGAAATGAAATGTTTTAAGTTACATATGCTATCAGTTTTCTGATTTTGCAAAATAATTTGTTATTTTTTATATTAACAAAACTGATTCTGATGACTTATATTGTCTGCAAAATAAGTAATAATGTATCTTAAATTATTTTAAAAATTACAATTAACTGTTATTTCTAGATTATACTACATTATACTCTATGGGAAAAATTAAACAAATGATAAATATATAAGCAATAAATGCATTCACTTGAAAATAATTTGCATTTTTCACTTTAAATACTGTGTTATTAAATAAATAAAAAGCATGTATATATTTTCAATTTTTTTGTGGTGACTCCTGATTTGATGCAAACCTTTGTGATACCTTCATATGTCTTGTATTGTGTAAGTTTGTAACAAGAGACTCCAAGCTTTATGTAGCTTAGAGCTTTGCCGAGTGTAAATCTAACATGGTAACAACAGATTTTAATCTTTTTAGAAAAATCTGTTCAAAGGATATTATAAAAGTGTACCACACTATGCCTACTTAACTGTGGTTTCATAATGTGTTTGATGATCTCATGTAATATAATTGATACCTGTGTTGGCCCATCCCAGTGCTGGTTTCTATTACCCGGTATGATGGACCAATAAATTCAAATTGAGTAGAAGAAAGTGGAATTTAAATACTTCATTTTTGTGCAGGAGGAAAGATCATTATTGGGACAAAAGTCCACATCACACAGGCCAAAACACAGCTTGGTGCAGACTTTTTATATAGTTTTGAAATAAGGGAAACCAATTTTATTGATACACATAAGCAGGTTCCTTTCACATGCTCATTAAAATCCTACAACCCATATTATGTGTGGGGGTGCACTTAATTAGCTAAGTGCTCTGCCTCTGTGTGTGTGTTTTTAGTATGCTAATAATAACCTTTGATCACCTACAGACTCTTGACCAGACATCCCTAACCACAGTATAAGGTAAACGTCATGTTATCTTCTTGTATCTTGGTAAGGGAGCCTACTTGCAAAGTTTAACAAGATCTACAAGGTCACATCTCATCAGCTCCATGTTTGCAAGACCATCATCTACACACACTAACATTTCTAGATGGTGGTGTCCACTGGCAATCAGCTTCATTTATTTTAAATAGCTAATCCTAATATTATTTATCAAAGACAATATTTATCAATGGAATGAATATTATGGAATAGCTTTAACTGCAGCGAATTCATGGCTGACTTGCAAAAGCTCTCAATAATTGGTTAATATATTAATAGGTTGGTCCCCAGGCCCTCATTTGCCTAGCAAATAGAAGACTAGATTTAAAAAAAAAATCGTAGGCAATTGTTTTCTTCTCTTTAAAGCTCTTCTGTTTAATGAACTTTATGGTACTATGTTCCATAGCTGAATTATGTTTTTTAACAAAATATTGCAAAACCCTATATGAATATTTTGTATTATATTGTATTGGCATTACAATAATGATATTATTATATACAATAAATATAATTTATATTTTTAATTATGTGTATACTCATTACATTGGTTCCAATTGTACTGCAAGTCTTCAACATCTCAGTTCAATAGTTTAATGTTAACCCTAACCATTTAAAAGTAATTTATACTGCATTCTCATTTTTGTTGAAATAATGCATTTTTTAAAACTGTGCCTCTTGTATGGAACCTATTTATGAAATTACTAATTCATATTATAAAATAAAACTTTTATTAAAAAAATAGAAATAAGTGTTGTTCTTTACAACTAGCTCCAGGAATTTAAACTTATAGTTATTTTCATTTGTAGTTCCCATGTCAACTAATAGCATTTCACTGTGCAGAGGGAACTACATTTCCCTGATGAGCAAATGCTGCCTCTACAAAAGATTCATGATTCGGTTCCTGAGGTTTCAGTTAAAGGATCAGATAGCAGATGATATGAAAGATTTCTGGACAATTCTAAGCTATATAAAAAAGTAATCTGTCTCAGTATAAGGCTATTTCCTATGTTTCCTATAGACTGTGTTAATCTCCTGCAAACTGATTTATTTTTATTACCGCATTAAATACCATGCCAGAAAGTTTGGGCTGTTCGTTTTGAAAAAAATGAGGGTTTGTACTATTCCACTTTTAAATTAAAAGTTGTATTGTAATACAGTCTATGAATGCTGCTGCTGCAGGCTGCATATAGTTTTATTTTGCTCATTTAATTTTGTCACTGCTCCTAAAAGAAATGTCCTCATTTTAAAACAATAACTAACTGCTGTACTGCAATAGTTAACATGACATGAAATTAAAAGGTGTATCATAATACAGGAATTCTGTTGCTGCAAGTTATATATAGTTTTATTTTTCTCATTTAATTTTGACACTGCACTTTAAATAAATGTCCTCATTTTAAAACATTAAATATCTGCTGTGCTAAGTCTGCAGTTGTCAACGTGACCCTGGGAAAATTTTATCTATTCTACATAATACTTCGGTGTCATCAAATTATGAGGTATGCATCTCGATTCTTCTTCATATTCTTGCATCTGTAAGTAAAATAGTATATAATTAAAATGCTGGATTTTGTGGAATTTGATACTCAAATCATGAAGTTGAGGACAATAATAAAAGTTCAGAGCTTCTTAAAAAAGGCAGGGAATCAGAAATTTATAAGACAGTCCCACATTAGGCTTTTCTACAGAATTGAATAAAATCCTATAAGCAAAGGCTCAAATTTTATATGACTGTGCTATAATTTCTATTTTAAACAGCAATAAAAAAGGACTTTAGGATTCTTTATTACTTTTCCCTTTATCACAATCTTTAGATAAGATAAGATAAGATAAGATAAGATAAGATAAGATAAGATAAGATAACCTTTATTGTCATTTTTTACTGTGGGCACAATGGCACACATCAAAAATGAAATTTAGTTGCCCGCTCTCAAAGTGAAACATACATAACAAACACCTAAATATACTATGAACAACATATGTAAACAATTCTACTTGTTTAAGTAGAATTATTCTTCATTTATAGTGTAAATGGAAAGCTCAGGCTGTTCTTATTTAATTTATGAACAAATATGCTGAGAATGGAGCAAATATTTAATGTTAATGTTTTTGGGGGGGTTTTGGAGACAGGCATTTGTACCAAAAGGGATTTCCAGATTAACTATACTAGTGGCATAAACACATTGGTGTTTGATGTAAGATTCAATGAATCTGAAACATTCAAAGATTATTTTGTAGAGAATTAGAAATAAGAGCACTTTTGAAAGATTCCAGTAGACTTGAGAGAATAAAGCATATAACCCTTGGTAATCCTGTAATGGAAAGGATTTCATTCTTCTCTAGTCAGGTAGGCTTTTTTCCCCTTCTATTAACAGTTTAGTCTTAGTGGTCATCATAAGCTGTTCCACTCCTCTCTATTTTTCCTGAGAGGAAATTCTGGCAATAAATAGAAAGCAAGACATGTTTCTATTTCAGACAGTTTAAAAAAAACACACTTTTTTATCCTTTATTTCTACCGTATATATTTTATGCAATGTATAAGTTTCTTTTTAACAAAACAAATTTGTTTTTAAGATCCTGTCTTCATTTTTAAATATGTTATCCTGCTGCCTTAACTGAAGACCTATTCGGTGTCTCTAATGCAGTAAAACAAGATAACATGCTATTAATTTCAAAAGCAAAAGAAAAGCTGTTTCAATGCTGTTTGTGACAGCAATTGGCTTTAGTGTTTGTGGTTTACTTTAATTATTTTTTAAAAAGTTAGATCTGGATTGTTAAAACTGAGAGTACTTCAGCGGCTGTGCTGACTTCCATGATGCCAAAATGTCAATGTACCACAATAGCAGAGATAGCCTATGAATAAAAAGAATATCAGAAATAACAATAAACAAGAAGCAGCATCTCAGCTTAAGAAGAGGGCATGCAGTTTGGAATTCTAATGTGAATTCAGCCCGATTATGGCCAACTGCTTTTTTTTTTTTTTTCTGCTACAGGGAGCATGTATCAGTATATACCACTTAAGTCATCTTAGTATTTTATAGGTCACTGGGTTTTTTAGGAGTAACATTCTCCATGGCATAGAACAATGCAGAAGATTTGATTCTTCATTTTCTAGCAGGTGCTGATTTTAGGAACTCTTTAAGGATGGAAAGGCATTTTGAAATATAAGCTGTATTGCAAAATAGCTTCCGTTTATGCCTTGCAGATATATTTAGCTGTAACCATGCTTGTGGTTAAACAGGATGCAACACAGAAGCAGACAGCTGATTCTGCAGCCAGACCTGATGTGCCTGTGATTTTGTCAATAGGCTCAGCATTTCAGTAATCCACTGCAGAATTAGTGCTTTAGCAATGGTGGTCTCACCTCTTAAATGCTTAACAATAACATCTACAGCAGAGTAAATTATTTGTCGTAAAGAAAATAGCAAAACAGAACAATAGTACTATAGAGCTAGGACCTAATACGTACTATGTGAAATCTTCATTCATCACGGAGGGTATTGTTGCGGATTTTCTTTCCAATCCTCTTTTTAAAAAAAAGAAAAAGAAATCTTCCATTTTTCTCAATAGGAGATGGCTGTGGTCAGTAGAAAGGCATCTGCAGACAGGTTTTTGCCAGAAAATCTGCCATACTTCAAGGCTGCATTGATGAAGAAACTGGAGCTTTGCTGAACACAGCATAGTAACAATTTACCTTGCATCATCAGTTGATGGCAGGTTCCCCCCCCCCTTCTTCTCCTTTGTTCCCTCCCACACGGTTGCTGTAAGACAGAGCATATTTGCAATGTCACTTAACAACATTAATCAGATACTGCATATAAGGTGAGCTGTCCCTTGCCTTTTCTCGTAGTGGATATGTGCTGCTGTGGCTGTCTCTGTCTCATTCTATTGCAAGCCTAAAATGGCAGGCAGGATTAATGCAGCTTGCACTGCCTGCATGATCTCGAGACTGAATTCATTATACCATGCCTAGTATTTCTAAAGGGAGCATGTAAATGCCCTGTGTGCCATATCATGCCATAGCAAGAGCTTGTTCATCCTAAAGGAGACTGCTGTATAAGCAAGCATTTTCAGAATTCAATTTCACTTTCCATACGGTTAGTTAATAGCTCATTGTTGCACTTCAAAACCAGCATTGGGTCTTTTGTTATTACTATTATTTTTAAAAGAATTAAGCGGAAGCTGCTTCCAGTTGGTATCACTCTTTTTCCCCTTTGCCTTGGCTGCTCTTAAATAATGTATGTTATATTGCTAATTAATGGCAATATCAAATTAAACCCTTCGAAACTGACGTATTTCTTATAAAGCCCATGCAATCTATTTTTAACTCTTACTGCGTAAGAGGTGTGCATAGGGCTTTGGTTGCTGAGTTTTTCTTTTCAGCAGAGCAATCATCCTGGGCTGATGTTCAGGCAGATGTGACAAGGGGCCTTTGCAGTCAGTGGTCATCTTCAAGCCTTGAACCTTCAGAAAAGGAGAGGAAAGTCCTGTGCTGCAGCTTTAAAAAGAAACCACCACCTTCCACCACCACCTTGGATGAGAAGATCTCTCCGCATTCCACATCTCTCCTTCCCATTGATAAATTCAGCTATCTTGGTCACAGTCTATTCAAGCAAGGTTTTTTTGAAAACAGCTTCTTTTTTCCTTTGGGTTTTTTTTTAAATAGTCAAGCTTTCACAGTCTCTCCATTGCTTTAAACAAGAATGGCTGAGTGTACTGCCATGCTCAGACTTAATTAAACCATATAAACAGGTAGGTGAATATTTGCATGTTTTGTTTTACCAATTGTTATTCCACAATGGAAGAATATGAAAATACAGACATTGAGCTGATCATCTGTTAAATAAGTATATTTTGTACTGAAATACTTCTAAAATATTTTCTTTGTATTTATTGAAGAGACAATTTTGTCAGTTTAAAAACATACCTCTTCCAAAATTGAAAATAGCATTTTTGCTAGGTAATCAGGGTGTGGCACCGCTTATGCAATAAAAGACTTTTTAGAAAGCTCAACAATTTTAAAAGATTTGAAAGTCAACTATGAAAATGAATAGACCTTTTGCTAAGATACAAACGTCTAAGTTGTGAATATAGCTCTGATAAAAATTGAAAATATTCAGATTTGTGCTATAAAGCGGTCTTTTGGCATTTATTATAAAAACTAACTTATTTGTTGTTCTTTTATAAAGATTGCTGTCATAAAGTAAGGATACATTTAAACATAGTATTTTTTTTTCTTTTGTGATGGCAGCTATTTTAAAAAGATTAGCACCTAAATGTGTTCCTTTCCCTTTGAAATGAATGCGAATTAGAATTGGACTTATTCAGCAAATTAAAACAAAATGTGTAGATATCTTAATCTATAAGTTAATTTTTAAGCCATTTTTATGGACATATAACATACACTAACCTAGCTGCTTTACAATATAGTTGTTTCACATCAATATTGGGCCAACCTGTTACCTTGGTAACCGAATTCTGTTAAAGGATGCAGTAACATAGCTGCAAAGGCATTTATTATTGTTTATTATTCCTCAGTGCAAATGACTATTTGATAATATTTTTACATGGCTATGATTTTAAAGTGATTGGAGACTTTAGCCTGTAACTGTAATATTTTCTATTATCTTAACTTGATTACTTAAGCAATGCAACAACGCTAGTTGTGTTCTCACTAAAACAAACACCATAGTATGAAGGAATTCACTGTGACACAAATGTAGAATATTTATTCATACTTAAAACAGGTTCAGCACTGTAGAAGCAGAACTAAATTTAAAAACAGCTGAAAACTATAAATTGGTTTAAAGCTTTCTTCTCTCATTATTTCTTTTAGCAACAATTTTACATATTTTTTATTACCTACCAGTAACTTAATCTGAAATTTTAACCAAACTGAACATCTTGTACAATGAACTGTATGAGATGAAAGCTGTGATGTTGCAGTTCGTAATTTATTATAACACTAATGCAAGTTGAAGTTGACAACGATGTAACATGTAATATAAAGCAGCTTTATCTGATATTTTTAATAGTATCTGTAAAATTAAACTTAAGGGTGAAAGATATTACTTGTAGTATAAATATTTCTCCATTTTTGATATAGATCCTTTAGAATATGCATTCTAAATGAAGCACAGCTCTTTGTAAAGATATTTCCAGCACAGAAGCCATCTTTTCAAATGCTTAACTTCAAAATAATCAAAGATTATCATATTCAGCACACAATATAGTTTAGTGGCAATATTAAGAAATACAGTTCCATCAGGCACAAGTACCTTCAGCAAATATAAACAACAAAAGACAATATTAATTTGATAAGATAGCTCACAACAAATACAATATTTTTGTTTTAAAATAATAATAATAAAACTTGTTTTAAAATGAAACTGTAGAATATGCATATTACTCAAAATGGTGTAAAATGTAAATGGATGAATGCACTAAAATCAGGCATTTTTATTCACTTTTTAATAATTCTTTCGAATGCTAACTTTCAGTACCCAGATTGTGATAGGATTGATTACATTTTTTCAGGATGAATTATTTTGATTATTTACTTTAGAAAATATAATTAATTATCAGATAGTGTTAGGAACATTATTATTCGTTTTATTTGTATTTTTTTCCTTTTTAATAAAGCTTACACATCGTTCTATGACATTGTATTAAGCATTTCTACAGGAGAGCAGGAAAATGAGGATTTATGAAGCACTTCTTGGTTTTCATTTCTTTTCATCTTTGAAGAGCAAATGATGGGGTCAGAAAAAAATGCAGTTTAGAGCTACTAGCAATAAGCTACAGAAATCCAGATAACCATTAGATGGAAGCAAGAGTTTTCTGTATCTAATGGTTATCCTGATTTTTGCAGTCCCAATAGGTTTGTTGACATGCACTGCTGATTCTCATTTTTAAATATTACCAGCCAGCTAGTATCCATTTTCCCATCCGTCTTTTTTTCTTCTCGGCCATTTTAGCCTACAGTAGTATCAATGACACTGTTAAGTCATGTAGTAATGTGATTTGCTTATTTATGTCTTTGGATGCTATTTGTTACTGCAGTTTATAAACCACAACTTATAACTTAGTATGAGGTGTCAATTATGTAGCTTATGTAACAGACCGTGGTAAACAAAATTGTAGCAAAATATGATAAGTGAACCAAAATATTGGCATGTACTGTTTTCCTCCAAATGGCTATAAATATCTATTCATTTGCTAAATAGCCATTAGTGTTGGATGGATCATCCTCATCTACTAAATTGTTTCCTTTAAGATGCAAAAAAGAGGAGAGATCAACTGATGTCCCAGTTTCCATCTCCTTATTACATGTGCATGCTACTTCTTGTATATAAAAGGGTTAAAGATGAAATAATCAAAATCTTTGGGACCACCCATGCAAATTATTCCCAGTAGTTCTGGAATCTTCCATCCTATTTGAGATTTCATATAGACAATGCTGACAATTTGGTTACATCTATCTCTTCCTGTTTTTTTCTACATTTTATACAGTTTGGTTGCTACATAGTTACTAAAAGTAACTATTTTAGATGTTTGCTAATGTTTAATAAATGTCAAGATAGATATTTTTGCTGGCTGAACTAAGTGACAGATGTGCTTGCTTTAATCTGAATATAGGAATTGACTGGGAGTGTGCTGGGTACAAACTAAAATGGAAATTACCCATCATAATTTTCCAACAGAAGAGTTAGGTCTAGTACAAAGCCAAAACTACACACTGGGCACTCAGAGCACTCAAAGCACCCCAGTCAAAAAAATATCCCAAATTATTTCTAGTCCAGTATATATCTGAACCAATGCTCAGAGACACGTATCATGGATGTTCAGTGGGAGTTAACACATCCTAACTGAAGAACGTTTTTTCTGTACTGTCAAAGCTTGCATAAATGGATTGGACTGGAAAAGTCTCATGAAGATGGGAAACAATATAGCATAGAAATAGAGGCATTATTTGAAAAAGATGAACTTCTCAGAATATTTGGAGATGCCATGTCCAGAAGAAGTCCATGTCAGGACAGCTTGGATAAAAAAAAATTAGATTACCAAAATCTGAAGTAATTAACTCAACAAACTAAATTAAGTTGATTGCAAACTGGTTTAGAAAAAGAGATTTAGAATAAGCTAATGAAGATATATGCATTTTTAGGAATGAATAATTCATTATTTTATTTGTTTGTTTAGCATATTTAAGAACTGTCCATCTCCGAGGGACTCTGAGAGTGTATAATAAATATTAAAAGTATAAAAACAGTATATAAAATTTAAAATGTTAATGTTCAGAAAACTAGTTCATCTGAAAATATCAAGGCATGACATCTAGAGTAGTTTTCTATTCAGAGGACAGTAAAACAAAATATAGGTAGTCCTCATCTTATGACCAAAATTGAGCCCAAAATTTCTGTTGCTAAGTGAGACATTTGTTAAGTGAGTTTTGCCCCGTTTTACAACCTTTCTTGCCACAGTTGTTAAGTGAATTACTGCAGTTGATAAGTTAGTAACCTGGTTGTTAAATGAATCTGGCTTTCCCATTGACTTTGCTTGTCAGAAGGTTGCAAAAGGTGATCACGTGATCCTGGGACACTGAAACAGTCATAAGTATGAACCAGTTGTCCAGCATCTGAATTTTGATCACATAATCATGGGGATGCTGCAAAGATCATAACTGTGAAAAACGGTTATAAGTCACATTTTTCAGTGCTGTTGCAACTTTGAACGATTACTAAACAAATTGTTGTAAGTCGAGAACTATCTGTAGTATGAACCTTCCTGATAATTTGATCAAGAAACTGTTATTAAGATAATTACCACAAAACTATACATATATGGTACAGTTAATGAAACTTTATGATGAAAGTCCCTTGAGAATATAATTGCCAAACTGGAAATATGCAAACTTGTGCAACTGAAGGGAAATCTCTAAACAATATAAATGTAATCCATCATTACTGTAATGAAAGGCGACGTACTTAAAAAGAAAACATATTAAAAGAGAAAGCAGACTTTACAGAAGTAAGGACCCATACAATAGAAAGAGATAATGAGAGGGAATGTCCTAAAAGAAAAGTCAAGCCTTCAGAAGGATTACAAAAAAATGATAGAAAAATAATATTTATATTAGCAAATAAATGCTTATTTGAAATTAGACAAGATTTTGAAAGGAAAATTGTTGATATATAGTGATGCATCAAGTCAATAAATCTGCTTGATGAATCTTATGAGAAAAAAATTAATTTAGTACATGCTGAAAAGGCAGTATTAAAATGAAATGCCCAGTAAATTTTAATATTTCAAGAAGCCTGTTACGCAACTGAGTTGGATGCAAATTGCATTAAGTCTATTTTATCTTATGCAACATGGGTTTAAAATTCTACTTAAAAATAAATTTTGCACTGTTACAATAAACTACCAAGTAATGTTAGTAGAAAGTACAAGAAAGCTAATTTGCTGGATCTTATGCTGTGGAGAGAGAGAAGCAGTTCGGTCTAATGGTTAAGGTATCACATTAGAAACCAGGAAATGCACTAAGGCAGCCAGGTGACCTTGGGCCAGTCATTCTCTCTTAGCCCAAGGAAGGAGCAACTGCAAACCACTTCTGAAAAAATCTTGCCAAAAAACCTGTAGGGACTTGTCATCCAGGCAATCTCTGAAAATTAGTCACAATTGAATGGAAGAAAAAAAAAATACTGGGATAAAGCAAAGCTTTATCAATAAAAGATCTAGCTAAAACCTCA